GGTCTCACTCTTAGGCACATACCCAAGAGAAATGAAAACACGTGCCTACCGAAAGGACTTGCACAAAGGTATTTATCCTAACTTTATTCATAATAACTCCAAATGTCCACCAGCAGGAGAATAGACAAATTGTGGTGTTCATACAATGGAACACTAGTTAGGAATAATACAAGGGATGAACAGATGCAACAATAGGAACAGATCTCAAAAGTGTTTTGTTAAGCAAAATAAATCAGACACAAGAGTACATTCCATGTGACTCAATTTTTATAAGGCTCAATAGACAAAGCCAATTCAAAGCTAACAGAAATTAGAAACTGCTTGCCGACAGGAACCGATTACTGGAAGGAGCAGGGAGAACTCTTGCAAGGAGGATGACATGTTGCTTACACAGTGTCTGCAGTTCTCAAAATCAGTGGATTGCATATTTAAGATCTGAGCAATACACTGCATTTAATTTTATGTCATTTAAAAATAAAATTAACTGTTGAATAAAAAAACTACTAGCCGAACTTAATATGTCTTAAAATAGAATCTCTAAGTTATTAAGTGCAGGGTAGAAGCATAGAAACAAGGATAGAATACACATAAAGCATGCTTCGATGTGTAATAAAGGGCTATATATCTGTTACATAATCTTATATATATGTAATGTTTCTAGAAGGATGTGTAAGAAACTGTTAACAATTGCTGCCTTTCTGGAGGAGGCCTGGGGGATGCAAGGTCTAAAGTGTGAGGAGCATGTTTCAGTACCATTTGGTAGTGTTGGAAATTTTTGTATTATGCTTATATTAATTTTTTACTATGAAATCTAGTTTGAAAGTCTTGAATGGAAAACAGATTGAATTTTAATCTTTCTCTATCTTTGAGACCTGGAAGCAGTGGGCAGCCTGTAGTTCTGCCAGCAGAAGTGGGAAGTTGGACAGGTAGATCAGGAAAGCACCTGGAAGGTGTTAATGGGACAGGGAAGGTATCACCTAAGTCCTGGCTCAGGACACCAAGTAAAATGAACTGAAAACCTAAATGGCAAAGATTTCGACCTAAGGAGACAAATTTTTGGTTACAGAATGTAAAACCTCCTCCCAGACAAATCTGCAAGATTTATCTTGGTAAAACTTTGCTTTTAATGTGAAAAGATCAAAAGCTTCCTGGTAAGTTGGAAGATGAGGTTTTTAAGATACTGTAAACTAGGGAAAGATTTCCTGGAAGAAGAGCTTCTACGCTAAGAATGGGACAGGCAGATGTGGTTTTAAGTCAGACAATCTGGTAATTAGTCTTTTTTTTTTTCTTTTCTTTTTTATTTTCTGGTAATTAGTCTTTACACAAATAAGAACATGCCATCAGGGTCTTACCAAGATCATCTTTCTCCATTTCAAGGACTAGAGTCTGCTAGCAAGTTGATGTCCTGCTTGGAATCTGGAGCAGAAGCCTCTTTACAAGTGGACAGGAAAGAAGACTTCACCTGTCCCAAGGAAGCTCTCAACTCAGGACAAGGAGGAAAGAGACCTGTGGCTGCCCTTGGGAACTCCTTATTCGGGGATCAGAGGCTAAGGAGTCTGGCTGCTTGGCCTTTGGTATGTACAGAATCCTTGTGGCGAAAACTTTGACAGAGCGAACTTGGTCAAAATTATTTGTTCAGTTAAACTGGGGCCTGAATGTCTGCAACAGGCACTAAGAAGAGAGAACTTACGAGTCTGGGTAGAAACTTTACAGAAATGTTGAGACAAAATATGGGTGAGAAAAGGTCTGAGATGACCCTCTGCAAGTGGCAAGCCAGAGGAAGGAGCAGGGAGAGGACTAGTGGAACAGGTTCTGAGCTGAGATTGCATGGGCTTGGGGATAGGATGGTGGGAAGGGACTATGTCTGGCACAAGCAGAGGAAGGGTCACTGGGATAAGAGGATCTCTGACTCTGGGAAAAGACCCTTATAGACCTGGTAGTATGACCCCTTCATGGTGGAATCCAAGGTCCAGAGAGTCAAATGTCATGACCATGACTCCATGGCTCAGACTGCAGCTCCCAGTCCAGTGGGCCCCTTGAAGAAGGCTGGCCTTTAGGATGTGGCAGCATTGCTGAAGCTCTTAACCACAAGCCGACTGTTTACTTGCTCCCTAGCCACACATTTCTGCTGATCTCCATGGAAAGTGTACCACTCAAATGACCTGGAGAGATAACACCTACCAGCCACCTCCTCCCCTATCTTTCTCCCTTCCAAAACCCGGATTTTTTAGTGAGTGGACTCCTTTGAACTGAAGAAACCGGCCAATTCCCCAGCCCCAGAAGATGAGTCTCAACTGGTCTCATGCTATTCCAACAGCATCCCAAGTCTCTTTTGTCAATGATTGGTCAAAGAGTGGGTTTGTGACAGTCTGGCTTGTAAGACATAAAAAGGAGTCTCCACAGGGCTTCTGAGGAAGGTTTTCTTTTCCTAACGAAAGGGAAAGATGCACTTTGGCACTGTCAGCCCTCACCCTTTCTTCCTGCCTTGGAGGACCACTGATGTGTATGTAGCTGGAGGGTAAAAGTGTTATTCCCTAAAGATAACAGTAGATTTGGAGCCCAAGTTCTTGGTGGCCTTAGTGAGCTGCTGGACCATTGACCTCTAGACTTCTGTTAAGTAAACATTAAATGGCCCTGTGGTTTAAGCCACTATACACTGGGCTTTATTTTCTGTCAAAAGCATTCCTTATGAGCACAAGCCACACATACTAGTCCATGTCTAGCCAACTGCAAGAGATGTTATTTAGACAGACAGCCCTTTGGTCAGCCTCCTCTGTGGTGGGTCTTACTCTCCTGAAGCTTTCTGTCAGACCTCAACCAGGGGGTGTCTGGCAAAGTCCTCCACCCAGCCCCAGGCCACCAAATCCGTCGTTCACACCTGACTGTTCTACTCACCTTTCAAATGTGAGCATCAAATGGGTGCTCACTGACCACACAGGTCAATCACTTATCAGTCACACTCAGGGTGGCCATGTCTAAGTCAACCACAGTGCTGGCTCTAAACCCAGCAGAATCAAGGCCCTCAGTCAGCAGTGGGGGTATTGAAAGCAGCAAGAGGGGTATGTAAGAAAAGAAGGCCATGAGACTTTGGTGGTGGGAGAAGGTTACCATTTCCATAACATTCTTCCCAACCAACTCTTCCCATCTTAGGGCAAGACTAGCTCTGTCTAATTCAGCACTGTCTTGAGCCCATCTCAGAGGAGGCAACAAAAGGGAACTCAGGTTCAGTGATCTTCCCTGGACAGGAAGGTCCTTGGGGTGAACTTTCTCCTGGCCACCCACCTTTCCCTACAAGCCCTATAAATCCACGTCCCTTCATGGTTAGAGGACGAAGCAATGAGTGTGGAACTGGAAGAACTTTGTTGAAACCATAATGGCCACTAACTTGATGTGGGACTTAGGACCCATCACTTGTCCACTCTGAGCCTTGGTTTTCTTTGAGGATGAGTAAGAATATTAACTGCCTGTGTCAGAGTTGCTGCAAAGATGGAATAAGATAACTAGTAGATTTGCCAGGTACAGGAGGGAGGGCCTGACCCCTGGTGAGTAACTGATCATTCATCTACCTCTCCTCCCTCTGCATACATGCACAGGGCAGAAAACCAGAGACAGGTCAGCGCAGTGGAAATTTCCATGGCAGACAGCGCATTTAACAAGGGCAAGACCTGAACAGTATGGTCAGAAATTATCCCTTCCAAGGAACCAGATGCGTACTTCATCTTTGATGGGGTTTCCTTAGGTGCCCATACTTTCTCCTGCCCTAAAAAAATGCCACCCATGGACCTTGTCTCCATACCACGGCTTCCTCCAGTGCAGTACAAGCAGGAAAAAGAATGGCACTGAGGGCTGTCTCACGGGATCCTGTAGGTTCTCACGGCTACTCCAGAGACACTGTAAGTATCTTCATATACACTTGCTCAGTAGGGTCTGCCTGCTCAGGGACCACAAAGCCCTGCTCATTCTTAGCCATGCTCTGTAGCCACCAGGCATGACCACAGTGGACAGTCAACAAAGGGAACACTCTCCCAGGGGAGCTCAAACTCCAGCATGATCTCTAAGGTGGCCCAGTCATTGGGAAACAACTGCTGTGTCCACTCCACAGCTGAGGGAGATCCCACTGTGGCCCCAGTAGAGCCACAGTTGTCCATGTTTGGAGTGTGAGCCTAGCTTGTGGGAGAGAGGCAGAAAAAGCATCTCCCAAAAGAACCAAACTGACCTCGCTGGGAGGAAAAGGGGTGGTCCTAGGCAGGGGACTTGCACAGCTGTTGGCCAGACACAAAATGACCTAGCAGGTGAGGGAGACCCAGTGGAGAGCTGGGAAAAGGTGCAAATTGTTAATTAATATGGGATGGGATAAGGAGGGAACATATCAGCCAAGGTGAGCTGTGGGAGAGAGGCAGGTGTCTTCCTGAGGTTAGTACCCCCAAATTGCTCATTTTTTGCTGCTGGCACCACCCAAGAGTCTCCAGGAGGCCCTGATTCTCACTCTCCCTACAGCAAGGGGCACCTGCCCAAAACCAGACATTCTGACCTGGCTGAATGGTCCCCTTCAGAGTGACAGAGATGATCTAAGGCAACTGGAAGAGTTACAGGCACTGATAGGCTATTTTCTCAGTTCCCATCCTGGGGCTCTGAGCTCCATGTGTGTTGCCTGGGCCTAAGCAGGTGAGAGCCCAGCAGGATGGCCATTTGAGGCCACGTGGTACAGGAGCCTGCATCCCACCCCTCTGCTGCCTGCCTGTCCCAGAGATGACAGCAGGGCCTGGAAAAGTTGGCCCCCACAGCCTCTTAAGGGCTTCTGAATCTGTCTTCCAGGTGACTATCATCATCTCCGAATCCAGGCCTGGAGGAAGAGGTGTCCCATATTGGCTGGGTTTTGGTGGGGTATGGGTGTCATTGGGTCACGCCGGGGTGTGAGTCCAATGCTCTGTGCAAGGTGTGCCGAGATGTTCAGAGTCCTCAGAAGACTGGAAGTCCTGTACAGAGTCTTGCAGCTCTTCTTAAGGAGCCTTACTGTGTGTTGAATTAGCCCAGTCAGGAAAATGATCCAAGTCAAATATGGCCCGTCCCCAGGTGTTGACCGACAAAAACACACACAAGATTCCAATTATGTTCACCATTAGTCCTGCTTTCATCTGGAAAATAAAAACAGGGTCAGAGTCAGCAATCTTAAGTCAGCTGCACCATCAGAAATAGAGTATGGGACACTGGGAGCCAGTCCTCTTGGAGAAGGGAACAACGGTCCTGCACTGGCTCCCCACCCCACACGAAGCTGCTTGTATCATGATGGTGCTGGTAAGGAAGGAGGCAGAACGGACAGATGCTCTATGCCCATCCAAGTGTTGGAAAATGACCCCAGGGAGGTGACTCAGAGAAATTACAGCAGAGCCCCAGATGTGACTTTAGGTCTGGTGCTCACTCACCTCAGTGCCTTAGCCATCCTGCAATATGCAAGCTTCTTGTGACCCTCCCCTCACTCTTTCTGTTGCCTGCTCTGCATTCTTCCCTAATGCTCACTAACTATTGCTCAAACTCTCCATTGTTGATTTTTCAGTAGGGACTTAGAATCTGGGCTGCAGGGCCTAGTGTCTGGGACTCACCCTCTCAGTGAAAATGTTCATGGAGTCTCAAAGATATTAGCAAGGTCCAAAGCAGGGACCTTGGTTTCTGGTTCCTAACTTACATACTTGGCTTGTCCCAGACCCAGAGCTGTACAGCTATCCTCATCTCATCAGAGGCAACAAAGCCCACCTCAGCATAATGAGCTTTTCCTGGGACTGTGCTTGCTTCCCAGGTGCCATCTGCTTCCAGGCAATGGCCTTTCTCCCTTCGCTGCATCTACCTCTTCAGACACCTCTTCACACCTCTTTGTCAGTTGTCAGCATCTCCCAATCTAAGCCATGCCATCTGACTGTCCTCAGGACAATGCTAGTTGGTGAAATCCACCATGTCCATGTGGGTTGTCATTCCCCCCACTTCCAAGTGCTCAGCCAGGCACTGTGCAGGGCCTACACAGGCTTCTCCAGGTGGGAGCCTCTGTCACCCACCTCAGAGACAGAACAGTCTATAAAAAGCTACATTATAAATGCAAATAACAAGCATAAATCTGGACAATTCTGTGGATTTCTGAATCACATGACAACCTTTTAAAACTCATATATCATTCACAAATTGGGCATCCCCTATACCAACAGCATCACAGTCTGAGAAGAGTAAATAAAAGCAGTCAGGTTACCATGTCAGAAACCTTGAGGTGTCCATAGGCAAACACGATGGCATTGGGTGGGGTGGCCACAGGCAGCATGAAGGCAAAGGATGCACTCAGGGTACAGGGGATCATGACATACAGTGGATTGAGGCCGATGGAACGAGACTGGAAAGAAACACAGCACTGCAACTCACAGCACAGAACATAAAAGCACCTCTGAAGGACAGGGTAAGTTCCAACCTCCCAGCTTCATCTGCTGGTCCTTCTGACACTTCTCTGGCCAACATCTGAACCCTGATGGCTGAACTCAGAGGTCACTTCCCCTGGGAGGCCTGTCTGGACCCCCTCAATTGCTTCAACATATATTTCTTGGGCACTTGCTATGTGCCAGAGACCACAGTGGGCCTCTAGATTACATTAAATCTTGCAATGCCCTGTGTCCAGTTCTGTCTGCCTGAGAGCCTAGAAGGCAGGGCCACATCTTCTCATCTATGCAGGCCTCTAGGGTAGAAGTGTTTTTGTATACATGTGGGATCATTCTGCACTGGAATTTTCAGTCTACATTAAAGCTCAGCTACATCTAACATCACACAACAGGCATTTATTAGATATTTGTTGAATGAACGAATGCTATGATTTGTAGTATCTATCAAAATGACTCTTTATCATGCAGATCTACATGCACACAAGGGCAAACACATATGCAAGCCATGTTCACTCCAACAATGTAACAGCAAAACATAAGAAACAGACTCAACAGCCACCAATAGCAGGACTGTCAAGTAGAATCTGGTATATACAGACAATGAAATAATATGCAGTTGTGAAGAAGAGTTGAGTAGGATTTATATGCTAATATGGAAAGATCCCCAAGACTTATGCTTAGAGTCAAAAGAAAAACATTAAGGTGTGTATCATGCTCATAGAATTATCCTACTTGTTTGAAAAGAATGTGTGTGTGTGTGTGTGTGTGTGTGTGTGTGTGTGTGTGAGAGAGAGAGAGAGAGAGAGAGAGAGAGAGAGAGAGATTGTGTGTGTGTGTTGTATCCAGAAAGATCTTTAAAAAATTAGTAATAGAAATTGTCTCTAGCTAGGTGGCAAGAGGATTAGGGTCTGCATGCTTTGTATCATTAGACATTGTTTAGCTGTGACTTACATTACATTTTCAACTTGAAATAAACCTGAGTATATTCCTATTTTATTAAATACTCTTCAAAATTGTGATTTCAAAAAAAAAAAAGCCAAAACCAACTTTCTAGCAAGAAGAGTCTGTGAGGTGTTTTGTTTTGTTTTTGAGACAGAGTCTCACTCTGTAGCCCAGGCCAGCCTTGAACTCTATTCTTCTGCCTTGTGCTCCCTAGTGCTGGGATTATAGGCAAGTGCCAGGACACCCAACTAAAACTGTGATTCTTAGAGGTCTGATAGTATTACATTATGTTATATGGACATATGATGATTTATTTCACCAGCCCCCTATTATTATGGTATATTTTAAAATAAATAATATTGTGCCATATACCATTATAACATATGCTTATAGGATTTTCTAGTTATTTTCTGAAGACATATATCCCAAGCATGAAATTGCCAAGTCAAAAGTTACAGCAGGTTTATGGTTATGGCTCCTGTTGGTGACCAGCCCTCTGAAAAGGCTGCACCCCGTTATACACCCTCTGGGAGTAGCTGAGAGGTCCCAGGCAAGGCCAGGCTGTTTCCTAATCTCCTCCCCATCCTCATTCCTCTGCTACACTGTAGGATGAACATCACCTTTCTCTTCCCACAGTGGGCACCCAGGTAGGAGCCTAAGAGTCTTGGAGACAATTCTGGGCAATCTTATTCAGGACTTCTGATTCCAGAAGAGCTTATTTTCAAAGGATCTGTCCTCACATTAAGGCCTCATTTGTCTGGCTGGGGCCATTCGTGTTCACAGCAGCACTGGAGATGGCAAAGCTAGAGCCTTTGCTAAGGGACAGGAGGCATCCCAATTGCATGCTTAGTAACTCCCCTTCCTTCCCACCCCTCCTCTCCACCCCCAACTCCTCCTCCTCTCTTCCCTTCTTCTATGGCATCTGCCTGGGGAGACTGTAGAGGGGAGGAAGAGAGAGTCACCTTGCGATCTTTAACACTTTCATCTTCGCTGGAAATGGAAAACTCACTTAGGTTTGCTTTTTATGCACATGGATGTCTGGGCAGATGGATGGAAATTTACTGCTTTCAGTACTCTGCTCAGACCCTTCATGAGTCTGTCTCCCAGCTCCAGAATAACCTCACCCTCTCCCTCGTCCCTGCTGCAGGCTGCAGAGGTTTTCCACAGTCCTGCCTTATGGACCCTCAGCACACCTCCAAGAGGAAAGAACTTGAGCGACACGTTTGGGGAGCTCAGGTCTTCTGACTCAGAGCCCAGGTCTCTTCTCGTGCGAGGTCACTATTGCTTTTGAAAATGACAGAAAGGAATGTGAGAACGGATGGCAACCAATTCTTCAGTCAGCTCTGCTTTCTTCTCAATTCCAGCTCCACGTAGTGCCTGTCCTCAGAAATGGTCTAGTGGACACATAGCAGCCTCGTCCTCCACCACTATGTTCTCTATGGCTCAGCACCCATGATGGAACCTTTTCCCTGAGCTCTCCAAGTAAGGCTTCTGGGAGGCCTCAGTCACGCCAGCACCCACACCATGTCCTCCACAGGACTGCTCCATCTCTCCAGGAATGTCTCCTCCTACCCTCCCACCCCCAAGCCCCACCTCCCTATGCATCTTCCTGAGGTCCTGGTCAGTGGTGTTCCCACCAGTGCTCTGCAGCCCTCCTGTCCACTTATGTGACACACCCAGCAATAAGGACACTGGCTCCCTCTGCCTTGGCACAAGTCCTGTCTCTCCAGTTTGAAAAATAATCCAGTAAGAGTATAGAACAACACGAAGCACCTGGTCCAGGCTTGATGCTTTGTCATTAGGACGTACAAAGAGGAACTGGCAAAGCCTCAGGTCCAGGGATGGCAAAAGTGTACAAGACCATGTCCTCTAGCCTCAGGCGCTGGCCCCCAATTTCACTGCTTCTCTAAGGACCCAGGACATGGGTCACAGGCTGACAGTTTCCTGTGAATATGATCTTCCTTCTATTGCAGTGTAACTTACTTACCATAGAGGCAAAGATGGGCAGGAACAGGGTGGTGGTGGCAACATTGCTTGTGAACTCAGTGGACACAGAAACGATGATGGACAAGAGTAAAGTGACAGCTTTTGGGGACATCCATCTGAGGGGCTCCATCTGCTTCCCCATCCAGTCAGAGAGCCCTGACGCCTGGGAAACACAGGAGGGAAATCATTTCAGGGCTCCTGGCTTACAATTCCTCCCAGGCCAGGGGGCTCAGCTCACCTTCCCAATCCTCTCTCTTGTGTACATCTCATGTACCCTCACAATTCTCATCTGCATCCTCACTGCTGTCTCCTAAAGCTTTACTTCTGGCCCAGCTAGTCTACTTTCTGGACTTAAGACATCTATATGCCTTCTAGAAATTTCTACCCAGATGTTCTGTGAGTCTGTCAAACTCAACCGCCCCAATCTGAATCCCTCTTCTATAGACCAGAATCTGCTTCTCGCTCTGGGCTCCCCAGTCAGATGAATGGGCTCACCATCAAGTGTTATCCAACCTAGACCGATGGAGTCATGCTGGGGGTCTTTGCTCCCCTCATTCCTTATACCTAATTAGTCACTAATTCATCCCAAACACATGACATCCATTTTCTCCTCTCATGACTCATAATTCTTGAAGCTCAGGAGAACGATCTGGGCCAGAAATTGCAAGTTAGATTTTGGAAATTCAGGCTGAGAGGGGGTTATCCAGGGAGAGAATGAAAAAGTAGCCAGACAGGAGGCCAAGGATAGAGCCTTGGAGAATAGTCATATTTAAGGGGGAACAGAGGGAAAGTTGGCAAAGGAGACTGAGCAGGAACAGATTCAAAAGGAAAGCAGAAGAAAGTGGTGTCTTGGAGGCCAAAGTATGTGTGGGGTGGTGGAATGTCAAGGTGAGGATGGCCTATGGAGTCCAGCATTCTGACACTGAGTTAGATGAAGACTATGGCATGTCCACTGGATCTACTCCAACCCCTGCTAAACCAGCCTTTCACTTCAGACACCAGAGTGATTATTCGCAGATGCAGATTTGACCAAGTCACTCCCTGACACCTGACCTTCAGTGACTCACAATTACCTTCAAAATCAAGTCCACATCAGCTATCCTCAAACAAATCCCTAGGAGAAATGGCTTCTGCTAGCCTCAGCAACCTAACCATGCCTCAGCTACACACCTCATGCTTTTACTCTTGCTCATGTATCACTTCTTCCTGATATATGCTCCTCCCTGGACTGTGAAGTCCTCAAAAACAAGAACCATGTCTCAATCTCCTCTATAGTCTGTCTCTGTGCCTGGCCTAACACTAGAGACATAGTAGGAATGTCTCATGCACAAAGAAATGATAAATGGAGAAATGAATAGGCAGATGGATGAGTGGTGGAGAGGTGACTAGATGAATGGATTTGTTCTTCCAAAAATTATGTATTAGACTGAGGATATACAGTGGCAGAGTGCTTGCCCAGCATTTGTGAAACCCTAGATTTTATCCACAGCACCACAAAAAAGCATACATGCATCTGCTATGTACCAGGCTCTGTCCTAGATACTGATGAAATAGTAAACACAAGATCGACCAAGTCTATTATAGTCCATTCCCAGATAGATAGAAGGGTAGAAAGATGGATGGATAGCTGGCTGGGATGGATGGAATAAATAAATGAATCAGTAGAGTAGACGGAAGGATGGATGGATGGTGAATGGATGAATGGGTAGATGGATGGGATGGATGGAATAAATGAATGGATGGGTGGGTGAATGGATGAATAGATGGTGGATATAGCAGCACCAAACTAGCTCACCCATCTCCCTGGCTCATTTCTTCCACAGGAAGTAAAAAAGGGAGTAGAGAAAGTTACATTTTGGGATATTTACCCTTAAAAGCTGTTCCTCTCCTCCTACTTGCTATACACTTAGCTAGAGAAAATTTCTAAAAATCCGAAACCAGGTTAGTGAGGAGTTCAGCAAGAAGAACCAAAGAAATGGGAAAATATTCATGATGACTTTAAAGAATGATTTCCCTAGGATAGTGCAAAGCAGAGATCATTACTACCAGACCACAAAGAAGGCTTGATAATGTCCTTTTCTCCTCCCTCCTAACCAGGGTCATTCATCCACCATTTCTGCAGTCACTTGAGTGTTTTCTCCCTCCCAGGTACTGTTCATGGTACAAGGTTGTCAGATAAGAAGAGAGAGTCCCGCCTCAAAGCATGTGCAGTTCTGTGGAGGAGACAGGCAGTCTGGGGGTGTAGGAGTGGGGGGATGTGGCAAATTTTGGCCACCCTGTTGGTGGAATCATAGACTCCTAGGCAGCATATGGCTGGAGAACTCACCTCACATCCTCTTGCCAGAGCAAATCCACCCCCTAGTAGCAGCACAATACCCCAGGGCACTTTCTGATGAGCCACCTTCCAGTCCAGCAGTGGTGGTGGATAAAACGGTGTGTTCCTTTCTGAGAAAAAAAAACAAACCAAAACCACATGCACAACACAGAGCAGCATTCGAAAACAGAAGAGATAGTCAAGGGGGGGAAACCGATAAGGATAATGAAGCTCCAGCACATATCTGTGTATCAGATAAACTTTTACAGTAATTATTGGTGCGGATTTGATAAAACTGTTATATGGCCTAATGATGGCATCATAAATTGGAATTACCTTTTTGAAAATCAATTTGGCTGTGCATTTTAAAAACCATCAAGACACCTACATTCTTTTACTCCATCAGTAACACTGCTAAGAATTTATCCTAAAGAAGAAACACCCTCAACAGATAAGCTATGTGTAACAAAACATTAACTTACATAACGAAAAATTCAAAACAGCCAAAATTCATTAAATAGCTGGAGAATGGTTACAGTCCTTCCATGTAATATAATGCTATTGTTTGAGAAAATAAATGTGAATTTATAGTGGGAAATGGTTACAGTGGTAATCTCAAGCAAAAATGAAAAACCAAAACAACAAAGAAATCAGGTTCAAACCATGTGTTTTGATTATAGTGATATAACCATAATGTATGTTTGTATATATATACATACATATATTAACAAAGGCAGGAAGAAAAATATTGATGCTATTAAGGAAAATTTGACATGCCTTCTGTCCCCAGAATATAAATAAGACTCCAAGGTTGGCAAAGTGGCTCAAGTGTAGAGTGCCTGCCTAGCAAGCATAAGGTCCTGAGTTCAAACCCCAGTACCCAAAAAAGGACGCCAAATGTCTAAAAAGGAAAAGAGATTTTGCTCTAAATAACATCACCATTGGCTTGAAAATACCCATCTCCCAGGTTTTTACAATGTACCAGTCCTCTTCAATAGGACCAGAGCCTTTCCCATACACCCAGGGCCTATTCCACACACCCAGAGCCTATTCCTTGGAGATCATTTACTAATAAGACCCCAATCTTGGTGGCTTGGAGGCCAGGACAGGAGTCTTACCTTCCTCAGACTGGCTGGAAAACTTGAAATTGGGCTTCTTGGAAGGTACAATGAATAATAAGATAGTCACAAACACAGCCACGCTGGCATCAGACAAGAACCTAGGTGGAGAAGGGCACAGAGAGCTTAGCCGAGTTCAGTGTCTGCAGTGACAAGTCATTCAACAAACCTGTCCTACCTTTGGCAGGTCTATGTCTGAATACTTCTACCTGAAGAAATAAGCTCAACTGGGTATGAAAACTGGAGCCCCCAAAGCGAAGGTCAGGATTTTATGGGAGACTGACCCCTGGTTATAACTCAGTCCCCAACATTTTGTGTTTTTTTTTTTTTTTTTTTTTGCAGTACTGTGGTTTGAATTCAGGGCCTTGTACTTGCTTGGCAGGCACTCTACCACTTGAGCCATGACCCCAGCCCAAGACCCCAACATTCTTTGCCACCAACTTTAGATGACCCTCATCAGTCTCTTTTTCCCTCAGCCTGCATTGATCCATGGGTGAACTTAGTGACTTCTCAACTGGGTTCTTTAGAATTCTGGACTCACCAGGGTGGCCCTAGGACTTTGGTGCTAACCCAAGCAGACTAAAATGGAAAAGTCAGTTAACAGGCAGCCATTTCCTGTCCACATCTCCTTCCTGCTCTAGGAGAGACACGTTTCTCAACCTTTCTTTCATGCTGTAAAACATTAGAGCCAGGAGAGAAACTGCATATGTCGCCCTTCTTCAATTCTTTGTTTAAGAAGATTCTGGACTTGGAGACATATCTTGGAAGGGATCTGAAGAAAGACAGGAAAGGGAGATGGCAGAGCATAGATCTGGAAACCAGAGCTCCAGAAGACCTGCTCCTAGCCCAATGAACTCTTCATAACAGGGCTCTGGCCACTCTGCCTCATGAGAATTTTCTGCTCAGCACTTTGGGGGAGGAGATGGTACCATAGAAACAACCACATCTGCAGTTTCATCATTCTGAGATTTCATCATTTCTGTCAGAAACGAACAAAAGAGTCATGAGGGATGGGGATGGGATGTAGCTCAGTGGTAGAACACTTGTCTAGCATGCACAAGACACTGGGTTCCATCTCCAGCATTGCATTAAAGAAAAAAAATGAAACCAACAGAATGTCCTTTAAACCGAGTTCCAGAGCAAAGGGCCCAACCCTAGACCTTCCTCTTGCCATCTGTAGGTGAGAACAGCAACATTCAGGCGCCAGTGTACTAAGCCAGCAGCTTCTGCCAAGTGAATAACTTACTTCTTCTCACCATCCACCCAGGCAATGGACAGCCAGCCGGGCATGAAGCCAGGGTCGCGGGAGAACCACAGGACGATCAGCAAGATGAAGCAAATCAGCACACTGATCTCAGCAAAGGACAAGGGCCCCAACTTGCTGTACTCCAGCTGCAGTACATTGTAGGCGGCCTTCTCATCGTTCCTCTTCCGCCTGGATCTGCTGGATTTTTTATAACTAGAGGATGCAAAGGTGAGAGAATGGCAGGGCAGATGGATTGGCTAAGGTTTGGTGGGGCTAAGCCTGAGTATTGCACAGCAGAAAGTGGCAGAAGTACATACAATGCTGGCTCTTGCTTGCTGCGCAGCCCAGACAAGTCCCTTCCTCCCTCTTCTCTCTTTCACCTGCCTTCCAGGACATGGTGGCAAAAATCTATTCAGAGGTAAAGTACTGAGTGCGCAGTGTGCCCCAGGGGTGCCTCCAGATCTGAGGATGTTCCCAGAAGAGGTCTGAGATTGTACAGCTGAGGTGGCCAGTCTCAGCCAGGTCTCAAAGACAGTGGAGGCAAGAAAGAAGAAGATGAGAAGCTGAACAGGGCATGGGCAGAAGGTTAGGATGCAGAAGCAAGTAGAACTGAGGTTGTCACTAGCAAAGGGGGACCTGGTCACCTGCAGACTGGCTGCTCCAGGGTCACCAGGGGAAAGGCCATGAGAAGTTCTGGAGCCTGTTCAAGATGGAACCAAGGACCCCTCACAGTCTCCCAAAGCCTCCTACCATGGCCTGAAGCTGCCTTCTGTGGTGCTGGGATCCAGCCCTCATTGCTGAGGTGGCTCAGAAGAGGACAGGAGAAAGAATGGGTCCCAGTAGGAGCAAGAGGGGTTCTTGCATTCCCAGGAGATGGAAGTGTAGGATTAGGAACCTAAGAGACTCTGGAGTTAGCAGCAGGTATGGCTAGGGCAGGAAGGAAGCCTGCTTGTAATCTGCTCTTGGATGAAGCCCTCGGAGTGGTCCATTGGTAGAAAGCACCTGGCAGGGTACTCTGCAGGACTTCCCAAAGAGTGGGGTTGGCATGATGGGTCAGGAAGGGGTAGGGCTTGTGAAGGAGGCATACAGGGAGGTAGAGGACAGCAGGTAACTGAGGGCATGGGTGCACAGATGAAGTCCCCAAGGTTTTCCCTGGGGATTCCATTCACACATTCTGGCCACTGTCTAAAATAGGTAGGCAAGGCTGTGACGGCCTTTCCAGTGCTCAATACAAAATCCACAGTAAAGCCAGGTTGGTGGAACAGGGGCCAATTCCCAAAGCCATGCTTGATGTGAGCCACCCTTGACAGCATGAGGGCCATGCTAGTGATGGTGGCATAGCCTGCAGCACAGGGACAGTAGGATGTCAGCACATGGCCTCCTAGTGTGCTCAGAGGCCAGGAAAGGAGACCACAAGAATGGATTTCAGGTGCACACAGCTGATTAGGATCACCCTGCACTGCATCATGAGATGCTCGGGTGTGGTGACCACCAGGTTGGCACAAGAAGGGACCTCTCTGCCTCGATTGACTCCAGAGTCTGTGCTCTTCCAAGTACCGATCTGCTGCCACCTGTCATCTTAGAGACTTTGGGGCTGTTGAAGGGTCTCAGGGTTCCAGAATAAGGAATGATCTTGGTATTTCAGCTGCCTAGCATAGGACAAGCAATAAGGAGCCTCAGCCCATCTGGTGCTGGTAGCACATCCCTGACACCACAGTGCTCAAGACTTGGGCTTTGTTGCTGGTCCTCCAGAATGGTGCCACCAAACCTCATACACTAAGCAGTTTCACTCTCATCTCTAGGTTCATTTCATCTGTTGAGCTGGCTTGAGACACAGGAAAATGGACCCACTCAGCCTGTGGGAGTCCTGTGGTTGGGGTGGGAACCAAAGTGTCCTTCTGCAGCCAAATGACCTACACCATGATGCATCATGGCAAACTAGGACTGAATATGCTGCAGAGCCAAGCAGGGGGGATTCTTGAGCTTCATGTGCCTCTGCGATGGCAGATTATAGGAAGAACGTTAAGAAAAACACTAGTCTCTCTTTCAAGAGGTGACACTGGTTGGGACAGTTGGGTGCAAGCCAGCAGTAATATCCCATGTCATCCCTGATGGTCCTGGGCAGGTGTCTGTGGCTCTCTTGGCTGAATGTAGCCTAGGAGGCTGCCCATAATCTCAGCAAGACACAATTTTTCTAGATTGGGCCAGAGGTCAAGACCTTTGCATTGCTCTCCATAACCATCCAAAATGAGGAATGTGAGAGAGACCAAGATGCAAAAAACAGCTTCCCATGGCTGCACACATGCTCCCTGGCCTCAGGTGACATGGTCTAGGAGGCCACAGATGCAGCTCCTGGTATGTGTCAGGAAATGGCCTGGATCATAATTTCACCTGAATGTAAAAGGCTGTCCTTTACCTCCCAGATACAAAACTGAAAGTAGATTTATCAATGAGCCACACTCTGTTCTGTGTCTGAGCTTGAGTGCCATATTGGGAAGTTCTGCTTCCCAATATGAACCTGAGCAGGTTCTGGAAGTCCTAATGCAGTAGAGCAAAGGCTTCTGGATGGTCCAGGAGAGCAGATGAGGTTTGGGAACCACAGCTGTAGGTTATTGGCTGAGTTTTCAGGGGACTGGAGTTCACCTGGACTGCTCCATGATGGGCTAAGGTGCCTTTGTGGTCTTGGTGCCTAGTCAGTTCCCTCTTCTTATTTGGCCTTAGGGATTTTGGGAAGCCTCTAGGTTACAACTAGTGCTTCTGATACTTGGGAAGGCAACTCTTGACCTTCCCAGGAAGGAATGTAAGGTTGTGAGTTGAGGGCACAGGCACTGGATTCCAATCGCAGGCCTACAATTTCCATGCTATACAACCCTGAGTAGGCCATGTAACCTCTCCAGGCCTCAGTTTCCTTATCTGTAAGTTGGCAATAACAACAATAGTAACCTTGTCACAGGTTGCTGTGAAGATTAAGTTAATAAGTGTAAAGCACTTAAAGCAGTGTCTGACAAAAAATAAGTACTCAATAGGTGTCAGTCACTGCTAGTTCCAATGCCCATGAGAAGACTCAGACACCGCCCCTGCAGTAAGCTCAAGGCCCTGTCTCCTGGCCAGTCTGCTGGCTGGATGTCAGTGAATGAGCAGGACTTTGGTCCTGTAATAAGTTCAAGAAACTGCAGGCAAAGCCAAGCTGAGCAGGCAAAGCACCATGGAAGAAGTTGCCCTATCAGGGGAGGGGGGAGTAGGAATACTGCCTCTTACTATTACAGTCTTTATTATGACTGCTTTGAACATGCATAGCAAATTTGGGGTCCAGGGTGGTACTGAAGTTTGAATTCAGGGCTTTGTACTCGCTAAGCAGGTTCTCCACCACTTGAGACGGCAGTTTTCAAAAACAGTTCCTCCTTCAGAAGAAAACTGATAAAAACCACGTTTCTCTCCCCCTCTCCCCCCATGAAATCACAGGTGTCCATAGGCACTTTTGCCTCTCTGCCCAGAATCTCTTCCCTCTGGTCATACTCCCCTATTTCTTGCTTGACTCGAGCTTCCTGTGAAATGAGGCACACAGCACACACATTTAGTGCCTGGCTGAATACTTTCCATCCTGGTGTGACACAATCACCTTTGTGTGTCTTTTAAAATAACAACTTTTTTATGTATTTATCCTCCCCATGTCATGTTTTCTGTCCAAAGCCTGGCTGTTTGTTGAGGGTGACTCTGAGTGAACTTTATAGTGTGCTGGGAATAGGAAGGTAAACTTCCCAGGACAGGCATACTGCCGGGAACATTGCAGGCACTCAGACGAGGCCTGGGTCTGGACAGATTTGGATGATAGCAGGGCTGCTGTGACCTGCATGGACCCATGTGGCCAAATGGAAGTTTGCCCAAGGGTGTTGACTTGTCACACAGGAACATGCTTCTCCTTAATTGCTTTAACCCATGTTGATGGCACAATTGCTCTTTTTCCCTGACCCAGAGCAATGCTGGGTATGGGATCAGAGAGGCCTTGAAAGAGCTCAAGGGAAAGGGGTGACACTGAAATATGAAGACGGGTATCAGGAAACAGGGCTCTGATGTGGTCAGGGCCAGCTCAGAGGAGGAATCTAGATGGAATTGGAGGGGAGGGAAAGTTGAGGAATGCATAGCTGAGGAAGTAGCATTTGAATGGGCCTTGAAGGCTGCCATGGTGAGCAGGTCAGAAAGTATGGATGGCCTTCCAGGGAACAAGGTACAGTGAGCATCCTGGGGTGGTAGGAACAGGAGAGCAGGCTAGCAGATGGGTTTGGAGAAAGTCAGGGATGGGCCAAAGAACACTGTAGACTGGCTGAAGGTTTCTGTAAGCATGTTTAGACACTGGCCTGTAAGCAGCTCAAACTTACCTGAAACCCATGTAAAAGCACTGGAGCCACATCCAGGTGAGCAGCAGCGTGAACATCATGTTGGGGAAGGCAAATCCAAACCAAGAGGCAAAGTTCACAATCTCTTTACTGTCAGGAAACAATCTGAAAGAGAAATACTTGGCCTAGATGCTGAGCTGAAGTGCAGGCCAGGCCCTGTGTGTGGAGGCTGGGGAGTAGCTGAATCCTGAGAGGCGATCCTGACCAGGAGCCACATCATTCCAAAGTCCAGCCACCAACATTCATCGCCTGACATTACCCTTTAGTCAAGTGGGGGGCCTAGGACACGACCACAGCCCAAGATAAGGCTGAGGAATGACAAAACAGCACTTCTGTGGATACAGACCCTGCCAAGAGTCTCATAAAAGTTATGGCCTGTCCCTCTAGAAAGGTATGGCTTTCCACACACTCACACATAATTTGCCAACTGCTTGTGGGGGGTGGGTGTCCACAAATGCCTCTCAACCCTAACCCTGTGGATTGCTGCAAGGGAATGGCCCCCTTAGGAAATCAAATCTCAAACATTTCCCAGGATGAGACTGGAAGATGTTCCCCAGGCCCCACCTCCCAATCCAAGCCTTACTTTCCCCAGACCTCTGCTAGCCCCAGGGCTGTCCCCTTTAACCCAAGAGTGTCAAATCGGACCCATAGTTTTCCCCCAGTCAGCACAGACAGGCTGCTTTTCTCAGAGGAATTTAACCCCAAGGATATCATTATAGAAAATGTTCCCAGGATCAAAACAGTCTGGTTATCCAACCTCGAGTTTCTCCCCTGCTGCTGTCCTTTCCCCACCTCCCAGCTCCTGTACCAGCTGCCCTCCCCACCTGACCAAAAATTCTTGTCTTTATAGAGTGCAGAGTTCCTAACCACTGCAATTTGTACAGACCTCAGCATAATTATTTAACCAGATACTCCTGGAGCTCCCCAGGTCTCCTCAGAAGACCAATGAGAACCCCATGGCGGGGTCCAGTCTTCTCTCACTTTCATGATTCCAGCCCTGCCCAGCACAAGGCCAAGCCCAGACACAGGATCCTCGTGGCCTGTGTTCTTTTGCGGTCAAGGATAGACAGTTCCAAATTACCCATTATTCACCTGGGCCCTCATGGGACACATCACCTCAAGGACTATTAGGAGGTTTATAGTAAGGGAGACAAGTGGTGAGTGACCCAACTGCAACCCTTTTCACCATCAGCAGACACCCCTTCTCCATATCATAGGACCATAGCCATCAGCAACCAATAGTGAGCTGGGTGGGGGCTCTTTAGAGATGTCTTTTCTGCAAATTTTAATCCAAGCAATCATGACTACATATACTGTCATCTCACATGACTTTGGTTCAGAGTTCAATCCACTGTCCCTGAGCCCAGAGCAGAAAGCTGCCTTGCCTCTGAGCTCCCTTGATTCCCATCCCCTTGGAGCGCTTCTGAGTGGTGCAGTGGTTCTGGGATGCAGAGGCAAGGCTGCACAGAGTGAATCTTCCCACTCCTGGTACCTCCAGCTCTAGGACCTACTTTATTGTCCTCTTAAGGTCTGGCTATGACTTACTCAGGCATCTGGCCCATGAGCACCACATTGGGTCCTGTCCCGGTCAAGGTAGCTGTTCCCCCGATGCTGGCTGAGTAGCACACACACAGGTTCATGGCCTTGTACACATTCCTCTTTTCCATTTCTTCCTGCTTCTCCTTGGTGCATTCTTCTGAAACCACTTGGCTCCCTGTAACAGGCACAGTGCTGTTAATTGAGCCAAGCATGGGGGCCACCAGGCTACTAACCTGAGAATGGGGACGCCCTACTCTTTGTTGAGTGCCTCTACACCCATTCTTCAGCCTCTAGCCCCAAATCCATGTTAGGCCCCATTTGCCTCTCACAGTCCCTTCCCAAGGGTTTCCTAAGGATCCTACTAAGTCTAGCAACTAAAGACATGTGCCCCCTCCTCCCTGGCCCCTTGCTAAAGCTGCTCCCTGCATCTAGGGGGCGTGTGAACCATCTCTAATGCCTTTCCTTCCTAGGAAGCTCTGTCCCTTTCTGAGCTGCTATGGTGTATAACTTATGCCTTGCCCATAGCTTCCCCAGAGATAAATGACTCATGTGAAGTGCCTATTTGTGCTGTCCCACTGGGATCCATAAGAGAAAGTGGCTAGAGTGTACCTGGTCACCTCTGTACCCCAGGATCTCACCCAGGGGTCTGGTCATCAGGCAGTCAGCTATGATCACTGACTTGCCCTGTGCAGGATCCTGGGGCTAGGACAAGAACTGACAGAGGGAAAGCAGATGCTACCCTGTATGCCCTGAATTCTGTGCCTACTAGGAAACAAAGCACAGGACACCAAGATCTGGGAAGTGAGCAGAGGGCTTTGATCTGCTTGAGGAGGTCAGAGAAAGCCTTCCTGAGGATGGTAAGAGTATCAAGAGTAAGGGGATCCCAACAGGTGTTAAAAAGATGTCTGAATGAGTAATTGAATGCACACTTACTGATTTCTGTGTTGAGTGGGAACCAAGGGTGGGACCTAGTGATAAGCTCTTATTAATGGAAATATAACAGTCTAAGCTTTACTAAAGTGTCTAATTTTAATGCAATGATAGTATTTCTAAAACTGGTGATAACAGTATTTCCTAAACTTTTTTCCCCCTGTATACATGTTTAAGGAAGTGCTCCAGGAGGTAGGGAGGGAGAAGGAGTGAACAAAATATCTGGCAACAAAAGGGAAAGCTGTGTCTGTGGCCCCTGTAGGACCCAGGTGAGGGGCCCACCTGGCGACTCACTGGCCTTGCCCTTTTCCACCAGTTCCATCCTGGCCCCAGAGGTTAACTTTGAGGACTCCATCTGCTGCAGCATGGCCTCCACAATGGGTACCATCATGGCTGTAGCAGCTGTGTTGCTGATCCACATAGACAGGAAAGCCGTGACACCCATAAAGCCCATCATCAGCCTGTAGAAGAGGAACAGGAAGGAAAAGCAGAGAATTCCCCACTCCCCATGGCATCTCTAGAGAGCAACTGGGAGCTAGGTCCACCCTTCCTGTATTCCAATAGGTGGTTAAAGTCTGAGTGCCCTCCTCTGTCTCCCTTTGCCTTCTTCTTCCCTCCCCTCCTCCCTCTCTTCCTCCTACTCCTCTCTTACAAACATTACTGATCTCTACCCTACTGGCCACTAGGGCCAACAAAAGGCCTAAGGGCAGCTGTCATTCATAAGGAGCTCCCATCTGGCTGGGAAAGCATGGGCATCCAGATGGTGCCAAACCAATAGGAAGTTTGCCCTGGTATGAGTCAGGGACATGTGACACAGCAGCACATATGCAGGCAGCCCCAGCGTCTCACATGTATCTAGAAGATCCCCATGATCCCAGATCTGGCCTCTCCTCTCCTAAGTTCAGATTTCCTCCCTAGCCCTGATCCACATGTCCAGAGAGAGAAGCCATAATTACCACGCAGGCCTGGCCCCCACCCAGAGCAGCGTGCGCAGGGCGATCCTCTTATGCAGGTTCCAGCGCTCCACGGCCACGGCCACCATCATGCTACCCAGGAACAGCATGTTGGTGTCTTTCATGTACTGGATACATACCTGGGAGGCAGCAGGAAGGTCCTGTCAGGGCTGCCCCTGGCCACACACTGCTTGGGCCCAGGGCCACCCAGGTCCCTAAGAGACGGGCCAGCAGGCCAGATGCTGACTTCAGAGACAGTCTGGAGTAGTCTGTCCCTAAGTCCAGGAGAACCCACCAGTCTTATGTGGTCACCTCCAGCCTAGGAAACTCAGAGAGGGGTGTGGAGAAGGAAAGGGTATATGGGAGAACCAGGAAGTCACCAGGTCCCCCTGGATCTGCTTACCTGCTTGGAGTCTAGAATATGCAGGAGTGGAAAGAGGACAACAGGCAAGAGGGCGGTGATAGCCACTGGGATGACGTCTGTGCACCAGTAAATGGCCATGAGGATGACAACATAGGCACACCTGACAAACTGAAGAGATAGTTTTGAGGCTCTGGCAGGCCTCACTTGCCCCATCCCCACTTCCTGGGAATGCAGCCAGCCTGGCTTCCTATTGGAGGGAGCCCTCTGCCCTACCCCTGATCAGCACAGCTCTCCAGGTTCAGGACAGCCAGAAGGACACAGGATCTGTCACCAAAAGACTCCTGTCCCCACTCCCAACCTTCCCCTCCCTCCATGTTCCAGCTGTGGGGTCCAGGAAAGTTCTTCCATCTTTCCAAATCCTGGATTTGGAGGAAGAGGAGTGGGAAGAAAAAGACAAGAAAATACCATTTTGAATGATTTGCTCTAAGAATTACACAAAATCATTTTGCAAAGAAGTGCAATTAGCTGTGTGTGGTGGTGACTCTAGCCCCAGCACTGGGGAAGTTGAGGCAGAAGGATAGTGAGTTTGAAGCCAGCCTGGCCTCAAACTAATTTCTCCAGCTCAAGGCCAGACTGGGTTATATAGTAAGACCCTGTGTATAAAAGAAAGAAGGGGAAGGAGAAGACTCATAGGGAGGTCCACCTGGGCCAGGCGTTTCTAGTTCAGAACTGGTCATGTGGATATATGATCTCCTAGCAACTTCCCAATTATCCTCTTTTGAGAGGATATCACTCATGTACACATATATGGGATCACCACAATGAAACCTCCTTCATATTATTAGCATGTGCTAATTCAAAAATAAAACTATTTTTAAAAGAGGTTAGGAAACAAGGAAAATTAAGATGGCTAAAAATAAAAATTTGCCTTTATATGTTGAGCTTGAGGAATTAATTGAAATCACACTGGATAGATAAAAAGAATCTCCAATAAAGTTTACTTAATTTGAGTCTTTGAAGGTTAAAAAACCAGTAATACTAAAAATTAGTCATGAGATAGCAACTGTAAATAATGCATTGATAAATTAGCCTCTCCTGGTCCTTTCCAGGCTCATGTCACATCCTCGCCTGTAATTTGAGGATTTTTGAGGGCCCATTCTTAATGTAAAACCTTGGTAATTTTTATTATCTAAACTTAGAAGCAATGCATGGGACACATAATAATTTTCACTGTGGGTTCCTGGAGGATCCAAACATAAGCATTAGAAAAGAAGGTGGGACACAGGCTAACTGTCCCTCTCACCTCCAAATCCACTATTAGGAAGTCCAGGAATTGCCTCAGCCCTGAATACTAGTCAACAAACTTGACCCTTGCTAGTTTGCTAGTCTAAAATGCTCACCCAGAGTCAGCAGAGAGGGTAGACTAGGAAGAGAAATGTAGAAAAGGCTGGGGAGGTGGGGTAACCATGAAGGATGAGGTGGATTCTGCCTGGCTTCTTGTGTAATACATCAGAGCACTTCCCTGCAGTTGAAAAAGGCTGGAAAAGCAGTTCAAACTGAGCTAAAAGTAAGCAATGCAATTTAAGAATCAGTACTCAGCACAGCACCTAACACATAGGTACATATTCAGCACAGTGTCTAGCACATAGTAAACACATGCAAACAACTAAAAAAAAGCAGGACTCCTTATTCATACAATTACAGACATGCATGCTCAATAAAGCACAGTGTAAGACATGTGTCCTTAGGCAGCTTCTCCATTGTGTGAATATCAGAGTGTACTTACAAACTAGCCGGCTACAATGTCACTAGGTGATATGATCTGTGGGACTACAGTCCAGTACAGCATTGACCAAAACATCGTTATTCAATGCTTGGCTGTATTAATAATTAAGAATGTCCTTGACACACTACATGATGGAAAAATGTAGCAAAACATACTCTGCATGCGCGCGCGCGCGCGTGTGTGTGTGTGTGTGTGTGTGTGTACATATGTGCATGGCAAGATTATTTGATTGGCTTCTGGAAAGATAACAATCAAAATACTAATAAGTTATGAAATTTGAAGGTATTTTTACTTTACAGACATAAAAAAGAATTTTTCACAATTTTAATAAAATAAATGACACAATAAATTTGTCACTTATTTTATTTAAAAAATTTAAAGAAGGGATCCAGAGAAAAGGTAGAAGATGAAGCCAGGAAGCAAGCAAGGTAGAGGAGAGGAAAATTAGAAGACAGCCTGGAGGAGAGAGGCCAGGTGCTGCAGAGGTCATGCCCCAGGAGTCACCGTCCAGTGGGGACAATGCTGCCCAGACTGCCAAGGCCCTGCTGATTTCCCCACCACTCTGTGCTGTGTACCTGTGGATTTTCCTGCCCAGTGGGAGGGGAGAATGAGGGTCAGAGAGCTCTTCAGTGGTGACCAAAACAGAGGCACAAAGGAAGAGAAAACAGAAAGCCAAGGACCCGGGCTCCCAACCCAATTAGAGGGATGGCAGCCTTCGAAGGACTCTCGCTGGTGCCTTCTCTTCCTTCTCCTGACCCTCTCTCCCAGGGCAGCCTAATGTCCTGAGTTAGGAACCTAGTTAACTCACCTGTGTGTATATGCACATGCTGCGAGTCAAGGAGGGAGTGGGATCTCGGTTATATTGCCAGGGAGCAGGAAGTTCAACCAAGTGACTGTAATTATGGGTCTGCCAGCAAAACTAAAATCGTAGCTCTTAGACCTTTCTACCTCCCACAGACAGGACAGCTCCAAATCTTCTTCTACAGAGGAACTGTGGCTGCTCATTGACAGTGTGGCAACTAAAATGCCAGCACAGCCAAATCTGCCATCCTTGGTCAGGGCCTCTGTTCAGCTCATCCTAGTCTCCCCCTCCCCTATCATAGGAACCAAGAGACTTAAAGTGTCAGAACGGAACTAACCCATTATACAGATCAGAGCACCAAAGCCCAAAAAGCCTTGGTGAAAATCATATGGTTCAGTGAATGGTAGAAGTCCAGTTATCTCACAGGGTGACTCCCTGGTGCCTCAGTGCACCCCTCCCCTCAGGGACTGCTCTCAGAGCCTGTCCTCTATTTCCTAGACCTGCTTGGGGAGGGAAGGTGGGAGCTGAGCTTTCCTGTCTGGGCTGAGAGTGAAAGGGCTGAAAGAGGGAATGAGAAAGGAACAGCCAGTGGCCACAAAAGGCTTCAAAGGGCTTGTGCCTCTGCCAGACTGGCTGTGCACAGCACAAGTGAGCCTGGGCCAGGCAGCTGGGCCCGCCCCCACCCTGCAGCCAAGGCCATTCATCTCCTAGGAGCATTAAGAGGCCAGGGCACGACACAGCTTCCCCGAAACCCAGGGTCCTGCCACCCAAGGCGAGAGATCTGGGAATGTGCGCTGTCTCCTGCCACAGCCACAGTACGCAATAGGTAGCTCAGACCAACCCCCAACCTGCCTTTCATGCTGGAACAGGATTTGGACTCAGATATGGCTTTGCTGGCTTCAGAGCTGAAAAGAAATGTGGAAATGTGGGTCATAGATGGGGAAACTGAGGCCCAAAAGAGCGTCAGACAATGACAAAGGCAGAACTCAGGATCCAGGTAGGTGATGATCTTTTTCTGTAGGTGTCTGATTGACATCAGACACTACCTACAGCTGGGAAATGTCCGTTCCCTCAGGGAAGAGAAGGAGGGAAAGACAAGCCCTGGGGTTCCTACTGGTGGAAGTGGCACCTTTCCAGGTGCAGTAGGGCTTTGATGCACTCTGGGAAGAGTCCCAGTCGGAGGCTAAGCCTATGGCTTGGGGTGTGTGTGGCTAAGATCCCTTCCGACATCTAGGTCTCTATGCTTGCCAGGATGGTTCTTATGCCCTGGAACCTATGAACTCCATGGTGGGTGCACCCTAGGGTGCCTGCACCCCTCTAGATTCTTTACGGGGCACCTCCCATCCAGCACCTGGAGCACCTGAGCTCGGCCCAGGGGAACTGTCCCACGGGGGAATCCGTGCGTTCCACCTCAGTGCTCCCGAGTTCCGTGCCCGTTACTGGACACTGGGCGCCCGGGTCCCGCCGGACTACCCAAAGACGCAACTGACCTTGTCGGGTATCAAAATGATGAGTGGCAGCAGCAGGAGCGGGGTGAGGAACAAGACCAGCAGGGTCTTGAAGTTGTGGAGACATCTCAGCACCGAGGCCATCGCGCGGGAAGGAGACTGGCGGGAGAGACGAATGACAGACAGCCAGGGACTCTGTGGGCTTAAGAAAGGGCCGCAGTCCCACCGGAAGGGGGTGGGGGGCGGCGATAACTCCGCCCCCCAGAACCGGGTTTCCCCGCGGTCCCGGGACGGGGCGGCCCCCGCGCGGTCAGTTGTTCTCTGGTGCCAGTTCCCGACTCTGCCACCTTGCTGGGGCGGAGGCGTCCGCGGACTCGGGTGCTTGAGGCGTCCGCAGACTCGGGTGCTTGGGACCCCGGCACCTGCTACCCTCCGGCCTTTCCTGAGCTGCCTTCCACTCGGGCGCGCCCTGAGTGCCTGGCTGCCCCGGTGCGGGGTCGTTCCTTTCTGCTAACTTTGGCGTGCGTGCCTCTCCTGCACCCGCACCTGCTCTGTCCCGCTCTCTGCTTCCCTCAGTTCTGTATCTCCGATCGCTCTCCTTTTCATCTCATTACTTCCACCTTGGGCTTCCCACCCGATCCCGGAGTCCCCGAGGCGGTGACCTCCCCCTCCGCACCGCGGTCCCCTTACCGCAGGCTCCTCTGGCTTCCACGCCACCCACGTTCGCCCTATCCTAGACACTTGACCTCTCCCCCCACCCCCACGCGCCCTCTCCCACCCAGAGGACCCCAGGTGCCCTCCGCGGGCCGCTGGGGGAGGGGGGCCACTGTCGCGCAATCTGAGTGGCTTTCGCCCTCCAGCGGACTCGCGCCGCAGCAGGCCCATTCCCCGCCCGGCTGTGCGTGTACCGCTTGGAGCAGCCATGATGAGCCCCCAGAGCCGCGGCTGCCCGCGTGTACCAGGGCATTATTGCCATCTTATGAAGGAAATAGGCGTCTACAGAGGAGGGGGCGTGACCGAGGCTACACTGAGAGCATCGTTCTTTCATTCATTCCGTTCACCAACCAGCCCGCCAAGCTGTACTGAGCAGCTATTTTCTGCTAAGCCCTGGTTGGGGCACTGGAGACATTGCCGCCTCTATTACCTTCTTCTTTGACCCTCCTCTTCTTCTGTCTTCTCATTCTGCAGCTCCTTTGGAGAGTCTTAACTATGCATGTGATGTGTACTCCTTAGGGATTACGTACCTGAGTCCCAGAATTCCGCGCAGTCGGTCCTCACTACCCGTCAAAATGTTAGCTTGTGGCTGACATGGGTGGCGTAGTTAGGCCTCCCATGGTTGCCGCTGTACTGAACATGTACAGACTTTTGTCATTACGCCCAGAACCGTATAGGTAAAACAACTATTTGCATACTGTTTATGCCGTATTAGAGCTAAGTAATCTGGAAATGGATTAAAGTATGAGAAGGATGTGTGAAGGTTATATGCAAATACTACGAATTGTATAAAAGACTTGAACATCCACAGATTTTTCTGTTTCTGGGGGTCCTGGACCAGGAAGAAATTACTGTACTTCCCTGTATGTGTCGCAGGCCCTAAAACTCAACACATTTTTTTAAGTGATTATAAAGTTTCTTAGTGGGAGAAAAATAGTTTTAACAGGATAAAAATAGGGAGAAATGGGGAAAGAAGGGAGAAACACTTCCGATCCCCATGCAAGAAATGGGACTAGAGACTCAACCCATCTTGAATCAAATTCATGGCTTTTCCTGTAATGTGTATACAAGGACACACATTCTCCCAGGTTGCTCCTGCAATTGCCCCTTCATTCTTTGCATTCATATAACCCTGGGTTACTCCCTCCCTCTTTTCCCCAGGGCACTTAGCCTGATTTGTTACCTTTATGTATATTCTTCCATATCCAGTTTATGGGTTTTTTTTTTAACATTTTATTAGCACATATTAGTTGTACAGGGAGGTTTCATTGTGATATTTCCATATTGTGTTTACAATGTATCTTGACTAGATGCACCCTCTCCATCATTCCCCCTCATGTACCTATATAGTCATCAGTGTGATTTTTATTTCATGTCAATCTATTTTTATCATCATATGTCCAGCCAGCACTATTTACTGCACCTGATCCAAAGTATGTACTCAAACTTCTTCTTTGGAACATATAAACAAGCACAAGTAAACCATTCAGTACATAATGTTGCAGCTTCTGTTCTGCAGCAGGCGTACCTGGATTCATATTCTGTTCTGAGACCGGTCGCCATCTCCGATCTCATTTTCCATAAATGGAGGGAATAGCTCCAACATTGGTTGTCAAACGGTTGTTTTGAAACCATAGGAGTTAATGCTCAGAGGGTGCTTAACACAGTGCTTTGGTATATAGTCGGCAGTCAGTAAGTACTTGCTCTTGAAGTTATATGCAACATACTCTAGGTGGCAGAGGCCGTGGAAGAAGGAGCCTCCACGTGCCTAAAGCAATGGGCAAGGCTTCATGGATGAGGCTGCATTTGAGCTGAGACTTCAAGGCTAAGTAATAATTTGCCAAGCATCAGTGGAGGCTAGCAAAAATCACAACTGAATGGGGAAGAAAAGTATGACGCTTATTCAGAAAAATCCCAAGATAATTCAGGGATACTGGAAACTGGAGTCCCACAACAACAATGAAAAGCTAAATAAATGGAGCGGTTATACCAAGTTCATTCCTTTCAAATTGATATATAAATTCAGCTCAATTCCAATTAAAATCCTAACAGGATTTTTATTTGACAAGCCTAAAATTCAAGCAGAATAACAAGTAGCCAAGGGCTATAGGCATGGCTCAAGTGGGAGAGAGCCTGACTAGCAAGTGCAAAGCCCTGAGTTTGTAGAGGCAAACCCTAGTAACCAAAAAAGAAAATTTATGCACGAAGTTTTATTCACCAAAAGACTTCTCTGTCTTAAACTCAGATATTACATTGGATTTTAACAAGTAGAGTATGTTAATTTACATCTTGCATTGATAACTTATAAAGTGTATACATTTTATTGTATCTCTATAATTTTATCTTGATGTGGTATAGCTGCTTTTAGAAACCTATCATCAAGTTGTGCTCTATATTTTATCTCTCAGTTTTAAAAAATTCAAAACATGAATCTAAACATTAAAATATATTTCTTGAACTCAAAAATAAATTATGTTAAAAAAGCAAAACAAAATAATAAAATAAATAAAATTGAGAGAGCAGGCAAGGATAAAAAAAGCTGTCCTGTATGGTTGTTTTTGTTGTTTGTGGGTTTGTTTTTGTTTTTGTTTTTTTGTGGTACTGGGGTTTGAACTCAGGGCCTACACCTCGAGCCACTCCACCAGCCCTTTTTTGTGATGGGTTTTTTCAAGATAGGTTCTCGAAAGCTATTTGCCCCAGCTAACTTCAAAGTGAGATCTTCCTAATCTCTGCCTCCCTAAGTAGCTATGTCCTAGATGTTTTTAAGTAAGCTTGTTTCCTTTTATCACTGTGTATATAAGTGATGTCTGAATTAAAATGGGAACTTTGATCTTTTTCCCAGATTAGTGCTGGGTGCAAAGTTTTGCAACACTATATAGTGGCAAATTGGAACCCACAGGTTCCTTTGGGTTGAGTGAGATTTCAAAACTTTTTCTCTTTGCTAATTATCTAGTGATCTGCTCCCTTCTTATTGAATGGCATGTAATTCTCTCTGTAAGTCTTTTTTTAAAATCTTTTCCACCATCAGAAAAGAAGACAATATCTGTATGCGCGGGAGACTTCTTTCCATCAATAATTTTAACGGCCACCACACATCATTGTTGAAGATGCCATGTGAAGGGCTCAGCTTCCCCCATCTGAAGTATTCCACTTGGCTTGTGTTTCTGTCAAGTTCTCCTTGCACTTGTAGTAACATTTTGCTTTATGTTTTGCCACATAACAGCTCCTATGTGAAGGCTTGTGACTGCTACATAATCTTTATAAACATGCCATTTACCATTCCATAAGACCCTCATTATTCTATTTAATGCTTTTAACCTCAAATGTTAGCCTTCAATTCTACCCTATCTGAAATACTGACACTCATTTTCTGTTTTATTTGCATTTGGCCATCTCTCCCCTGTCTCCTCTACGGTCAACTTTCAAAACCACTTTGAAGCATTGAACATACAGCAGATTTTAGGTTTTTTTCCTTTACTTTTAATTAACATATAACATACTGAGACAGGCAAAATCACAAACATACAGCTTGATGAGTTTTATCAAGTAAAGGTGCAGTGTCACTACCACCCAGATCAAGAAGCAGAACACAACTGGCTTCACAGAAGCCCCATCTGATACCCCTTCCTGGTTACATTTAACGTTTAATAAAAAACAAAAACAAAAACAAAGCACTTAGTTTAATTTTTTGCATTCAGAAATCTTGCAAAACGCACCCAACTTTTTTTTTTTTTAACAATTTAAGTGTAGATTCTTTGGAACTATCTATGTAACTATCACATGTAGATTACAACGGTATTTTTCCTTTCTGCTCAGTGCTGTAATCTGAATGTGTCACTAGTTTTTTGGGGTTTTTTATTTGTTTGTTTGTTTGTTTGTGGGGCTGGTTTTGAACTCAGGGCTTGGCGAGCTTGCAAGCCAGGCACTCTCCCATTTGAGCACACCTCCAGTCCATTTTGCTCTGGCTATTTGGGAGATGGCTATTTGCCCAGATTGGTCTTGAACTGTGATCCTTCCCACTTTATCCTTTCAAGTAGCTAGGATCACAGGTGTGAGCCACCAGCGCCTGGCTCCCTTCAAAATTCTTATACTGGAATCTACCATCCAACGTGATAGTATTAAGAGGTTGAGCTTTTGGGAAGTGATTAAGCCATGAGGGCTCCACCCTCACAAGTGGAGTTAAAACCCTTTTAAAAGAGGCCAGGGCTGGAGGTGTAGCTAAAGCAGTAGAGCACCTGCCTCGTAAATTTGAGGCCCTGAATTCAAAGCCCAGTATCACCAAAAAAAGAAATAATAGAGGCCCCAGAGAGCTGCCTTTCTCCTCCCACCGTGGGAGGACCCCACAAGAATGTGACATCTTCGAAGCAGGGAAGGAGCCCTCAGTAAGACATGGAATCAGCTGGATCCTTGAACTTGGGCTTCTCAGCCTC